GGATAGGGATTGGCAGGAGGTCCCGGAGCACAGAGGGGTTTCCAGAATCCCAGAATGGTTTGGGGTGGAAGAGACCTTAAGGATCACCTCAATCCACCCCTTCCACTATCCCAGGGTGCTCCAAGCCCCATCCAACCTGGCCTTGGACACATCCAGAGATCCAGAGGCAGCCACAGCTGCTCTGGGAATTCCATCCCACCCCTCCCCACCCTCACAGCGAAGAATTCCTTCCTTTTTCCATGAGGAAAAAGCTGCACCACGTTTGGTTTAATCCCAAACTGCCTGGACACGGCTCTGCAGTGCCCTGCGTGCCGGGGGATGATTCACGGCAGCAAAGTGTGCACAAACCCACGCCAAATAGGGATGTTGTGGCTCTCACCCCTGCAGGAAAGGCACCACAGGAACATCCAGGCTCAGCAAACGCATTTCCCACCCCAAAAATTGGGAAAGGGCGGAAAATGAAGAGCGGGGTGGGAGCAGAGCAAGGGGTGCAGCACAGGGAGGGGATCCGCAACGCACTGAGCTAAAAACCACCGGCAAAACCAGGAGGAGGGAGAACAAAACAAAGCAAAACAAAAACAAAACAAAACAAAACAAAACAAAACAAACACGAAAGTAACATACAGAGAAGCGCTGGGCTCAGTCTGTCCCAGAATGGTCCCATCCTGGCCAGCTTTGGTGCCTGGATCCCCGTCCGGAGCCGCTCCCAGCGCCGCTCTCCTCCCGCCTGCCTCCCTCCCCGCTCTGACGTGGGACGGGAAAACTCCTCTGGATCTGCACTCCCTGCCACACCAAGGATTCCTTTGCTTCCCTCGAGTTTTTGGGGTTTTTCTTCCCAACCCGCGTGGAAAACTCCATTAAAAAATACAGCGAGATGAATTCAACTCGCTCGCTCTACCAGAGCGGTGTTTGTGGGGGGAAAAAAAAAATCAAATAATTCAAATAGTTGAAGGGTTTAGGGCTAAAAATAGCAGAAAGAGCTCCTTGGAGCCGGAGAGGAAGGCGGGAAGCAGAGGTGCTGCAGCTGGATAAGAATGTTTCCTTCTTGTTTGGGATTTCTTTTTTCTTTCTGCACCAAACCTGGTGGAAAGTTGGCACAAACTCTCCCTTACACTGAAACACTGCAGCACCACCAAAAACTGCATTTTCCCTTCAATTTTTATGCCCAAAGCAGTGCTTGTTGGTGAAATTTTGTATTTGAATGTTTTTTGTTTATCAGAGGCTCCTATCCCAGCCCCTCCTCATCCCTGTTCTGCCTTCCCAATTCAGAGTAGGGGGAACATCTGGAAGGGAAAACAGCTGGAAGGGGACAGAGGGACATTTTCCTCCTTCTCCCCCAGCCCCTCCTGCTCTCTGCCAGAGGGATTTTTCTCAATTTTTCTCTCCTATCCCAGCCCCTCCTCATCCCCGTTCTCCCTTCCCAACCCCGTTTTGCAGGGCAGGGGGAACATCTGGAAGGGAAAACAGCTGGAAGGGGACAGAGGGACATTTTCCTCCTTCTCCCCCAGCTCCTCCTGCTCTCTGCCAGAGGGATTTTCTCAATTTTTCCCCCTCTTCATCCCTGTTCTCTCTTCCCAACCCCATTTCAGAGCAGGGGGAACATCTGGAAGAGAAAACAGCTGGAAAGGGACAAGAGGGACATTTTCCTCCTTCTCCCCCAGCTCCTCCTGCTCTCTGCCAGAGGGATTTTTCTCCCCCCTGTGCACATCCCTGCTGCAGAGGGGGAGGATGCTGCCCCTGTCTCGAAGCCACCAGCAGGGATTAAATAATTGCCCCACGCCGAGGCCACAACCCCTGGCACGTTGTCATCTGCTCCTTCCCCTTGCCAGCCCGCATGATTTTCTGGCTGACCTCACAAAAATTGATGTTTTCCTTAAAGGCCCCGTGTTTGTGAGGGGAGATTTGGCTTCCAGGAGTCCAAATCGCTGAGGTTTTACTCGCTGCTATTAAAGAAAGCCCCAAAACTGAACAAATCTGGCTGTGAAGAAGGCTCTAAACCTTTAAAATCTGGTGGCTTTTCATCTTTTAAACACACACAACCCTCAGCATGTCCTCCATGTGAAACTCCTCAAAATAACTTGTTTTTCCGGGTCTGAAGGAAATTTTAAGAGATGTCCTTGCTCCTCAGAGCAGCTGGGATGGGGCAGCCAAGTTTGTATCCCCTAATTTAATTTTTCCAGTGGTTTTGTGCTCTCCAGCTGCTCTGGGGAAGGAACAGGCTGGGAACAGCCTGGCTGGCTGGGCAGGGGTTATGTGATCCCAGGAGGAGCTTTCCAGAGGAAATCAGCTCTGGGATGCTCCAGGGATGGAGGAGGAGGAGGAGGAGGAGGGAGGAAGCACCACAGCACTCGCTCCTGCAGCTGCTGCTGCCCTTGGCCCAGTCACGAGCTCAAAGTTCAGCCAAAATCTGAGGATTTCAAAGAATTTTCTTGCCCAAAATTCCTAGGGAAATCCTTTTTGTAACCACACAGCTCAAAACCAACCTTAAATATGCTCCTAAACAAAATCTCAGCCCTGATCTGTATCAGACTCTGAGCAAACTCTCATTCAGCCTTGTGTAAAAGGGTTCCAAGCAAAATCCTGGATTTAAATGTTAAGCGATTCTCCAGACCCCAATGGAGTTGGATTTCTGTATCTTATGGAAATATTAAATGCAAAACATTTTGCAGGCTTAGGGAGAAATGATCATTTTCATGGTTCTCAGTGCTGCCTTGATACATGCAATATATAAAATAAAATATAATAAATACACAATATATTACAAGGATCAGTGAAACAGTGACACAGAATCCTGGGGTGAGGAACTTCATTTTCCTCCCCAGTTTTTTTTTGCCCCCAAATCCACAATCCCACCCTGTCAGTGCCACCCCCAAAGAGGCCCATCCTAGTTAGGAGGAGGTGACAATGAAAAAACATAAAAAACATTAAAAAATAAAAACATTACAAAAAAAAAACCCAAATAAAACATTCTTATATCTAATGAGATGTCCACAAGAACAGTTTCCAGTGCTACAAAGTTTTTCCTTATGTACTCCTTTTGTTGTATTTTTGTTAAGGTTCAATAAACATTTTAAATTTACAAAGTGAGCAGTTGTTTCTCACAACATTAAAAGAAATTTACTCATCATTATAAAAAAACCCCTATAATAACAACTTCAAGCCTTAAAACCCTACAAAGCGAGTTATATCAACTTTATTTCTGCCTCAGCTTACCTCAAACATAACATTAAAACAAACCAATTAGACTATTAGCTAATTTTTTTAAAAAATCAGTACTACTTCCATTACAATTAACAACACAATACCAAATTATTGTCATGTTATAATGACAGATTATTATGTTAAGCTGTAATGACAAATTGCTGTTATAATAACAAATTATGTTATATCATAATAACAAATTATTATGCCATGCCCTAATAACTAATTATTATGCTATGTTATAATAAATTATTATGTTATGCTATAGCATAATAACAAATTATGTTATGCCACAATAACAAATTATGTTATATCATAATAACAAATTATTATGTTATAATAACATATGATGTTATGCTATATAATAACAAATTGTTATGTTATGTTGTAATAACAAATTATTATGTTATGCTATATCATAATAACGAATTGCTATGTTATAATAACAAATTTTAGGGATTTGTAATTAATTATTATGTTGTGTTATACCATAATAATAAATTATTATGTTATGCCATAATAACAAATTATTATGCTATGTTGTGCCATAATAATAAATTGTATTATGTTATTATATCGTAATACTGAATTATTATGTTATGCTATATCATAATAGCAAATTATTATGTTATATCATCATTAATAACAAATCATTATGTTATATCATCACAATAAATTACTTATGCCATAATAACAAATTATTATATTATGTTATATCATAATAATAAATTATTATGTTATGCTATATCACAATACCAAAATATTGTTATATGATAATACCAAATTATGTTACATCATAATAATAAATTATGTTAAGCCACAATACCAAATGACTATGTTGTGTTATATGATAAAAATTATTATGTTATACAATAATAACAAATTGTTATTTTATGCACAATATATCACAACACCAAATGATGATGTTATGCTATATAATAATATCAAATGATGATATTATGCTTTATCACAA